TCAAACGGCGTCCCCGTCAAGACATGGCGGACTTCTCGTCCTTTCCAGGCTTCTCATCACTCTTCACTTCTTTCGAAGTCTTCTTCAGGATGCTTGGTCCTGCAGTAATGTCTTTCCTGGGTTCCTTGTCGACAGGAAGAGAGTCGATCTCCATATCCGATCCCTTGGATGGGCGTTTAGGAGCTTTCTGCTTCTTTCCGCTAATCGCCCACCAGGCCCGTTTCGCCCCAACCAGGCGGACATTCTTCTTTCCACCCTTGTAAATGCGAGACCCGGTGCGCGCAAGGTGCGTCTTCCAGCCCCGTTCCGACGCGGACCACGGAGATACCACATTAAAAGGCACATCCGCCACAAGGACGTCCTCCAACGTCAACGAAACGTCGCCGAAACGAACTTCAAGATCAACGACATTCGATACGTTTATGATGTCTCCTGAGGCACTATAGAGCGTCACCGTGCGATCATGATACTTGCAGACACGAAATCCTGACAGATGATCTGCTGAGACGATGTGGCATGTGGCTCCACTATCGACCAGCCATACATCACGATGCTCTACCTGCAGCGAAGCGCAGACGTATGCCGCATCTCCCTTCGAGGTGCTTCCAGTCAGGGTGCCTACCTTCTCATCTACAGTGACTTTCGGCTCTACAGCGACCGGTCTAGGGACTACTGCTACGGGCTTGGGCTTCTCAGGCTCAGGCTGGCTCAGTACTTCTCGTACAGCAGAAGGCTTGGCAAACCTCATCGCCATCACGGTGGAGGTCCTCGAAGACTCGGACTCTGCCTCAGACTCTGGTTCTCCCATAGCCCGGGCTCTAGCCTTCTTCTTCTTCTTGCCTTTGCCCTTGCCTTTATCAGGCTTGTCGGGCTTCTGCTCCTTGTCTTTGCCGCCTTTTCCGCCTTTCGGCGTTGGAGAGCGTGGCTTTCCTTTGGGAGTCTGCGCTCCCTTGCCATCGCCCTTCTTGCCCTTGTCGCCCTTCTTGCCCTTTTCACCGGCTTCACGCTGACGGCTCCAGCAGTCCTTAGCCAGGTGTCCCTTTCGTCCACAGTGGTCACAAAGCTTGTCACCCTTTCCCGACATCTGCCGATTTGAGGAAAAAGGACCCTCACACAGACGAAGCTGCTCCTCATAGTACCGAAGGCTATCGCTCAGCGATGTCCAGTCGTGGCTCTTTCCATGAAGAACGACGTACTGTCTGAGCTCCTGGCTCAGAGCTTGCAGCAAAACACTGCAGCGGTCAGCCTCCGTGAGACGCAACTCTGGAAAGTTCCCAAGCTTGGATTCGGCACGAGAAAACTCGTCCTCCAAGTGACGGATGAGGTCTGTCGGCCGTCGGTGATGCTGGCACGTAGTCGCCAACTTGAGGCACTGCTCCCGCACGTAGACAGCTTCCATGCGAGACACAATGCTTTATTTTCCAAACAAAAATGTTTCAAATGTGTGAAAACATTTCCCGGCCAAAGATACAGGACAATCCATCGATGCCATGCTTGTTCATTTGTGTCCCATGCACAGCGATGCATTCACATGCACAGACTGCAATGACGTGCACCCTCACGCTAACAAGACTGAAGCTTATGCACAGGTATCTTTTCCAAGGAAGGGGATTTGCCATGTCTGCTTCCATCCGGGATCTGTCCTCTGCAGGTGTGTGAGAAACGAAATCTCCCGAACGTCGGCTAACTCACTTCCCCTCACAGGTCCGACCTAGGTGTGACGGCCTGAACAGAATATTCATCAGGTTCATAACGACAGGTCAAGAAGTTTCTGGCTGTCGCTGAGAGCTTGACGAAGCGGCTTCATCCGGTTGCTCCAAGGCAGGTTCAGGGTTCACAAACTGCCACTGAGGCTGAAGAGCTGCAGCAGCTTCTCTTTGCTGCATCTCACGGTCCGCCATGAGATCGTCCAATACCTCAGCCACCTTCACGAGGGAATCCATGTTCAAAGCGTGAAGCCACACTCGAAATTCGTCTAGCTGAGCTCGTGTCAACGACCGCGCCATGAAGAGTGCTGAAAAAGGCAAAGTGGTGAGAAAAGCAATTCTCGAGCCACACAAAGTAAGGCTCGCGCTGATCCTGTGCACACAGAGTCATTTCCTGACATAGTTGCAAAATCTCCGTCGTCAACTGTTCCTGTGGTCGCCACTCTACAAGGTACGATATCCACAACCGGCACATTGGTTACCACATCCTAACTGCCAAATGTAAGGCACTATTGGAGTGGGTGGGTGGGCAGAAAATTTTCCCCGACCCTCTCCACGAGGGTCGTGACTGAGAGGGCTGTGGCCTCTCTTCGTCTGAGCCGAAAAACTTTCTCATTCGGAGAATTCGAAAATTTTTCTCCGGAAAATAAAGGTCTGTACTTGCAGCACGATAACCTTATTTTCCAAACAAAAATGTTTCAAATGTGTGAAAACATTTCCCGGCCAAAGATACAGGACAATCCATCGATGCCATGCTTGTTCATTTGTGTCCCATGCACAGCGATGCATTCACATGCACAGACTGCAATGACGTGCACCCTCACGCTAACAAGACTGAAGCTTATGCACAGGTATCTTTTCCAAGGAAGGGGATTTGCCATGTCTGCTTCCATCCGGGATCTGTCCTCTGCAGGTGTGTGAGAAACGAAATCTCCCTCTCTTGGTCGGGGAGAATGCAAGTCCCTTCCTTGGTCATGGGAGTGTCAGGCGCGGCGCCCGACAAGCGAGTTTACCAGCTTGGCCATTTCCGCGAGAAGCACCTGGTCTTGAACCTGCAATTGTGTGGCAACCCTGTAAAGTCAAGGCGGGATGGGGTATCCGCCGCGTTGGATTTGCTCGGTACCCGAGCGTAGAACTGAATCATCTCGAGCTCCTGTTCCAACAATGCACAAGCATTGCTCAAGAGGGTCAAGGCCTTTGAATCGCTGGTCAGCTTGAGGAGCGACGTGCGCACCGCTTCAATGTCTAAGTAGCACATCACGTGTTTTCCCCGGAGAAATTCTCGGGCTAGAATGAAGAGCAGGAGAACAGCTATGCTCTCAAGCTCGTTGATGACTTTGGACTTTTTTCATTAAACAGGACTGCTCCCAGACCCATTTCGAGGCCTTGGAGTCCTCTTGCGAGGCGTCCGTAAAAGATACACCGTCTCTGAGGTCTGGGCTCGCACCGTCCTCGGCGGCGCTTCGGCTATGTAATGTCGTAGCTCCTGAAGTGCTGCGCAAAGGGAGGCTCTTGTTCTGTCTCCTGACATATGCGGGGGCATTGATGATGTCAGAGCTTCTTCTCATGAAGCCCTTCGGCAAGCGCCCAGAGAGAGTTGGCCCGCCACAAAGTGCAGCCTTCCCCTCAGTCGATTCCAGGTCTTAGGGCTGGAGGCTCCTTGCTCCTGAAAGACTGCCAGGTCTTCAATGAGACTTTTGGTTCGTTCTGCTGCATTCTGGATCCTAAAAAAAAAAACTTGCTCGCTGCTGTCTGTAAGGTCAAATTCTACTCCCAAAGAACTGAAGACCTCCTGGAACGGCGGAGCCTTGTCTCCGTCTCTGTCAAACTCAAAGCAGAGCAAGTCTAGCAAAAAAACATGCACTGGCCTCTGCGCTAGGGGCCAGCTGTCGTGTTGACAACAGCGTGAAGTCATCGTAAGACGAGCTCCAAGGCAAGTGCCAAAACGTGTTTCCTGTATGACAAATAGCCAAGCTGACCCTGAGGAACGCGTGGACCGCTGCCACGGCGCCGAATGGAAGGCAAAGAAGCCTGAAGAAGCGAACCTCCCCCTAGCTTGGGTCCTTGACCGCCACGTAAGCCATGTTGAGTGCCTCTTCGGACAGCGGCAGTCGCCTATACGCTGATTCAGGTCAATGGTTTCCAAGCAGTCCTTGTCCTGCGTGCCTCGTTGATGTAGCTCTGGGACAGGTCGTCGATCAGCCTCACCTTGCTCCCTTGCTGGATTGCAAAACGTTGGCTGATTACAGCTCCTTGTGGCAAGCCCTGTTCTCAGAACGGTCCTTCCGAGCAGCCTTTCGATACTTCATCGAGACTTTTCAGCCACAGTTCTTCCAGAAACTGAGATGAGTCCTCAACTTCCTTGATGACCTGGTGGTTGGTCTCCTGGGCTCGCTGGAGCCCTCTTCGTGACTGCGCTGCTCGAGTCTCAATCACCTTGGCTGCGGGCTGTTTAGAGCACGCCAAAATTACCTTCCTGAGGGCGGGTGGCACCCCGAGACACAGGTGTCGGGGGTAGCCGACCAGTCGGGCTTTCGCCACAAATTTTTGTGGGTTCCACGGCACCTCCACCAGAACGTCCGTCGCAGAAGACAGTAGGGGCGTCACTCTCAACGCCGGGGATCCTGGCGCCTTGAACCCCGGGATCTTGTCCGGTCCTAACCACTGTGTAGTTTGGAGAGTGCTGCGGAGTTGGCTGGGCACTGTCCATCTGGTTCGTCGGCAAAATCCGGGGATGACCTGAAAGGATGCAGCCCTTTTGGTCTTTGCCTGTGTCGTTACCACCCTGGCTCCTGAGGAGTTTGCGGGATCTCCCTCCAATAGATTAAGGCCATCCCGACAACCCTTCTGTGTCAGATGCTGCAACAGCAGGGAAACGAAGTGCTTACAAAACTGTTGCGGGGACGCGGTCTCAAGTTTGTTGCGAGAACTCCCTCGTGCACTTCCCAGGGTAGGTGCTCGTGGGATCCAACACACGTGACAGCCAGGCCTGTGATGAGGTCGTTGTTGCACAGCAAGGCTGTCAGCTTTCATTTCGAGCCTCCCATTATGCAAAAGTCGCACTGGACCACAATCGCCTGTTCACTCCTCAGGATGTGTTCAACGGCGATGCAACGCCAGAGGAGACTGCGATAGGGTTTTCTATGATTACCACGATGCTGCATTCGCAGCAAAAGTCCCAGCTTCGGGCCGTGAGCCGGCAAAGCTCGTTGGCCTTTGCCAATCTTTCGGGCCCGGAAGCCCTTCCGGGTACTCCACTGACCTCAAAGGATGCGGCTCGTCCTCCCACGGAAGCTAGATTTCCTTGGCCCTGCTGGATGTGCCGCAGGGCGGCGCCAGCCATACGGCGGCCAGTCCTGGGGAACCCAGCCATTTCCACAGCAGACCTCTGTGCGACAGCAGGAGCAAGACCAGCTGTAATATCTTGCCCTTGAGGCTTGGCCTGCGGACTTTGTCCACTCCGACCGACCGCCTGAGGCCGGCTGAAGCAGCCGCCGAGGTAATCCCGGCTGACCCTGCGAAAAACTCCAAAACCCAACACTCATGTCTGGTCTGGGGCGCAGTACATTGCGCCTGTCCAGACCTGTTCGCGCCAGGGTGACTCGCCTTAGGTGAAAATACGGAAGCCTCAGCGGAAGACTTGGAAAACTGTGGGATTGGCTCAGTCACCCGTAGGAGCGGGGGCTAATTCTCTTGGCCTTTCGCAACAGCAGCAGGATGCGACTCCTTGCAGCTCTCTTTGGGCCTGTCCGCCAAAGAAGCGGGAAAATTGTCCTGTTCACAAAATTGGGCTGAACTATCTCCATCCCCCATGGCTGTTTCCGCTCTCTCCGCGCACGCTTGTGCGCGACGCGCGGTCAGAGCAGCGCGGGACGCCTGGTCCAGCGCGGAGGCGCTGTCAACGTCCCTTGCAACGGGGCGTTCTTTCAGGCTGCCTGGCCTGAGTGCTTGTGCTCAGAAAAGGGATGCTTCCGAAAGCAACCTGGGTGACAGCGTACATGTCTGCCACGTGCGCATCTGCCCCCCAATGGGGCATCCTTGCACTGTCCTAGGTTGAAGCCAAAACAAAGAGGATCTCCGTGCTCGTCGTTCGGCACGCCACCTCGCAAGGCGGCCGGCATGGGGGTCTCCCCCTTGCCTCCTTGCAACACACTGGTTCGGAAAGCCGCCCTTGCCACTGTCAAATTTGCCCTTCGTGGGGAGGCGGGCTCCCTTGACCCCTGATTCGCCTCTCTGGTTTGTCTGTCCTCTGATATTTTCATTGCCCATACCTTTTCCATCGCCCCAACGGTTGGGGGCCCTTGCCCGCGCCTTTGCCTCCTTTATCTGTGAACCCTTCCGCACGAGGTGTCGGCATGAAGTGAAAATTGACTGCAACCGTGTTTGTGGCTTCCAGGAAGACTTGATCTAAGCACCGGGCGTCCGCGAGCGGCACCTTCGCCGCTGCCCTTTTCAGGGTCGGCTGTTTGCTGCCAAGCTCCCTCCACAAGGCCCGATCTGCTCGCAGGACCTGCTGCAGCGTCGGACGGTTGAAGCCTGGGGGCGCTGGGGTCTGCAAGGTATCAAAGTCCTTCTGAAGCCGTTTCTCGTGCGCCTTGGGATTCAACACGCCAACGAGGTCGTAGGCCAGACCCCGTCTTGGCAACGCTCTGTAAGTCGCCATGTCTGACCCCAACTGGGCCGCCACTTTAGGGGATTTATCCTGAACCGAGAGGCCGTCCCCCGAAGCGTCCAGCACAAGTTCCTTGGCTGGCTTGCCTTGCGCCAATTCCTTTGAGCCTGCAAGTCCAGGCGCTGGGCTCTCTCAGCTCCTGGCAGCTTACGTTGAACTGAGTCCGGCTGCTGTCCCACGGTGGCCTCCAAATTTGCCAGACTCATGGTCCGGCACTCGAACAGGAGCCTCTTGACGACCGTCAATTGCGCACGAGTGGGGTTGTCCTGCCCCAGACTCGTGCATAGAGTGGAGACCTCCTTGTCTGTGAGAGGTTGACCCGGTTGAGTGGCGGCGTAGGCTGCCATGGACACCGTCCTGACCCCTCCGGTTATGAATCTTTTCAAGAGTTGCTGCTCCATCCCGACCTTGCGAGCATGTTGCTCGAAGAAAGGCTGACTATCCGCTGCGTTTGCCATGTTTAGGGCGTGGGGCCAAAACTGCAAATTGCAAAAGAGAGAGCTGGTACAAAGGGATTGTGCTGCACATACACACAAAGCGGCCAACAACAATGTCACCCCGCTCTTAACTCCTGAAAACAACGGCTGCACTGTAGCCACTTCGCTGAGGGCTTTTCCATTTCTACAAAATTAACGCTGATCCACTTGCCACATTTCAGCGTCGTATGACCCACTTTGTACAGATGTAGCATGGTACACTTCTTGTTTCGGATCGCTCTCCAACCCTTCGGCAGACTCAGGGCCGCAGCTGGTTCCTCCTTTTCTTCCGACGAGGCTCCATCAGAGGTTTCCTCGGAGGACCCGTCTGCTGATGTGGTAGGCGAGAACTCTGCCTCCCCGTTGTCATCTGCATCTTGTGTGTCATTCTTATCGAGCACTGTTTCGCAAAGCCCACAGGTCACGGTAGCCAGCTTGTCTAATTCCTCACTTTCTTTCTAGGGTTAATTCTTCTCCTTCCGCTATCAACGGTGCGGATGCTTCCAAGACGGGCATGGCACTTGGTGACTCAAAGACCTTCCCTTGCAGGGGGCAAAGCAGTCCAACCCCCAGGAGATTGTCCTGAAATCCTTCCACTAGAGCTGGCAAATTGGCAAAAGCTCATGCGTGCTTTCGGAATTCTCGGGCAGCCCATCCAAGCTGCCTACCTTGCTGATCGGAAGTCAGGACCCGAGGTCAACAGATGCACCTGCCTCTCATCCTTGGGCTCGGGCAAAGTATCCACTTCGAATAGCGTCCGGGCAAAACGAGCCTTCCCGTACCTGCTTCAGCATTTCCTCCGGCTGCCGGAGGGGGCCACTAAGGGCATCTCTCGAGTAGGCTAGCTCCAGTCGAATAATGTGACAAGAGTGTCTGTGTCTCGCCCACAATGCCGTATTTGCTCAACCTCCCAACAGCATTGTGTTTCAAGGACTGTGTGGCAACCCTCGCTGTTGAGGGGTCGCGGTCCCTTAGCAGTCCCGTCAGCTAGTTGGAAGCCTCGGCGGAGTCCATGGAACTCTGCAGCCAGTCGCCATCTGGGGCGGTGGCCGGTAGTAAAGGGCCTACAGGGGTCTTCGAGAGCACTATCCCTGCTTCGGCAGCCACCTTCTGCCATTCTTTTGCCCACACCACCTTAGGTTGGACCCCCGAACTGGAGCCACGAGGGGCATGAAGAACGAGAGTTTCTTCTTCTTGTTGGACTGTTTCGTCTCTCTAGCCCTGCCTTGAAAGGATTCCTTCCAGAAAACCACAAATCTCGGGTCCAATTTCCAGAAAGTCGAACTCCAAGAATCGCACGTGCCTGATGTCTGACCACGGTTCCTGCTGAAGATCTGACACAGGAACACTCCTGCTGCAAATCACTCAACAACGTGGAGCTCGGTGTTCCCAACCCACTCTGCCGGAAATTTAACTTGAAGCACTGTTAGGTCCCGGGCTTGGTGTGTGGGCTCGTGCTCGCCTGCCACTCGGTCTGCCAAGCCTCGGACCCTGGGGGAGATGGAATTCTCCACATCTGGAATGGAAAGCAGAAATTTCACAAACTTCAACGCTTGTACCATGCTCTGAGGTGCCCGCTTGCCCTTTTTGCTGTGGGATATCTCCCTGCAGAACTTGTACACCGCCTCCTCTGATGGGAGAAGGGGTTCCTCCACAGAGGTCCCTTGCGCATCTGCCTGTCTTTGAAGCCAACGAAACGGCCTCAACAAGGTCGATGCACGCTTCTGGATTGTGTGTGGTGATTTCGAGCCAAACATGTCACGAAGGGACAACATCTTCTCCTCTTCGTCCAATTCTTGCAGTTTTTGGCAAAACTGGTGGACGGGGAGGCTTCGAGCAGCTGTTTCCACATGTACATGTTCTTCAATCACATGCCTACAACAGCCTCCTCGAAAGGTCCATCTTTCTTTTTACACTTGATCACTTTGCTGAAACGTTAGCCCCCGGTGAGGAGCTCAAGACACCTGCGATTCTTTGGCCTCTTCACCCAGAGATGCCACTTCGGCACTCTGGATTGGCTCATCAAAGATGCCAAAGCATGCCTCTGTGGGCTCGCTTTCTTGTCTGTCATACCAACCAACTGGCACTGATTCCCCAGCTGATGCTGATGTATGAATCAGCGTGGCATTTGGAGTCTGAAAAACCGGAAGGCCCGGTATGGGGAAAAGAGGTGCAGGGGGGCAAGTTAATGTCCTCGTACTCAGCAGAAAAAGCCTCGGCTTGCCGCTCTGCAAGACACAAGTCCATCTTGGCAGGATGTTGTTGTACAAAATCCCAAACTCGGGCCCACAGAAGAAAACAAGAACTTGAGGTGGCATACGTGACATGACATAACATGGTGCTTCAATACACGCGCAGATTGCTGCCACATGAGCATCACAGAGACAGCACTGGAAATGTTTTGCACTTCTGCCCCGCGGGAAGATTCAGTAAGGCCGGGAGCGGCGCGCATTGTCCCTCATCTGCTGCACACGGACCACGTTACTGGGTCTCGGTGGGACAGGGGGGGTCACGTGCACTCGGAGGCCCTGGAGCCACAGGGTATGTGTCATGTCGTCGTGGAAACCTCGGGTTTGATTCTGTAGGAGGTCGACAACACTCTGAAGCCTATCGAGGTGAAACTGAAGTATCAGACATGTTTGCCAAAGCTGCTCGCACTCACTCAGAACACGTGCATGAAGATCAACGAGATGCGAATACTGTTGTTGCATTCGGTCGTGACACCGCTCGAGAGCATCGAATCTCTCGCGAAGATAAGCAATCTGTCTCAGGTGCTGAAGGAGGGTGAAGCTCATTTCCCACACTGGCACTCTCCAGAATCGTTCAGCAATCTCCTCATCTGTAATATCTCTAGACATGACGTGCAAGAAGATGCCTGAGGCACGTGTTACTCCAGCTGGCTGAACACGTCAAGTAGTACCACGACCGAACGGGAAGAAGAACCAAAATTCTCGAACCTTCAGTTTGGCTGAGGAGGATGTTGAGGAGGTCGGGTTCAAGGACGTAGGTGTGCAGATTGGGCTCTTGATGTATGTTTCTGAACAAGCACTCCAAATGAAAGTCTCGGGGCAAGATTCTGACCACTTGCAAACGGGCTTGGGGCACGCGCTGCCACCACTCAGCACTCTCTGAGCTTGCTGCTTCCAAAGATGATGAAGATTCGTCCATACACGAGGCAGCAGGGTAGGTTAAGAATGCATACAGTGTGTTTGCACAATGCTGCAGAAAGCAAAAGGCAGCGGTGTGTGTGCATTCACAGACAGGGTGACATGCATCCACTGACTGCTGAAGCACGGGAACAGAGCTTGCTCTAGAAGTGCTAAACGGATTGTGCACGTTCCTCAGCAGCACATGCCGACATGGACTGGACCATGAGAACTCTGAACGTCCAATGCATCAGTGGAACCCTCGTGCACTGGTTGCTGTTTCATCACTCGCAGCAGTCGGCCGGAAACAGAAAATTAGAATGGCAGGGCAACAGCCACTCCATAGACCTTTGCATAGCAACTCTTGATGCAGTAGGCCTCACGGCATCTAGCAGCTCCAGCTACCCTACATGCCGCATGAAGTCGCCAATTGCCTCCACCCGAGATTCCAGCCTTTAGGCTTGTCCCACTTCTCACGCCGATTCCCACCAGAGCCCTGCCACGAGCTGCTGGAGCCGTAATTCTTGGATTGCCCCCAACCCTTGCCCCATGAAGACTGCTGGCTCTTCCATGGGGTGGACTGTTCTTGCCACCGGGAGGAATACTTCCAAGAAGAACCTGCCTCAGCTCCCTTCTGTGCGGAAAGGGATGCCTGGGCCTGTGGGCCCGACGCCACGCCAAAGGCCGCTGTCGGCACTTGGCACCAGTGAAATCCTGGCTGCGTAGCTCGCATGCTAGAAATCCCAACACTTGGGGTCCTCGGCTGGGTCTCTGGAAACCTGTCTCGGCGCCCACTTGGGCTACGTGATCTAGACGTCCTTCGGCTCCTGTCTCTGCGTCTTGAGCGAGGGCTGTCACTGCTGCTTCTGTTCCTTCTGCGGCCCATGGAGGCAGAGCCTCAGGATTCACCGCCCGGAAAGAGGGGCCACGGAAACATGTGGGCTTTCGCCTCTTTTTCTTTGCCCCTTGGCTTTTGTTTCCTCTCGGAATCTTTGCGACCCTTGCCCTTGTCTCTCCTTTTTTTTTTTAAGCCGAGAAACAGTCAAGGGATAAACTCAGATGTCAGCACGTCGTTGCCTTCAATTGTGCAATCAAGTGCTGAGTTCATAACAGCCTGCGCTCCTTCTGTTTTCAAGCTCTCTAGAGAATCCTTTCATCTCGACTAGACGACTCATCGGTGCCCTTGCACCTCTTGTCGGCCCTTGCCGATCTTAACTGTCGTCACGGCCTGAAAGAATAGGCTGCCCTTGCAGCGACGTATGAAGCACACTCATTGTGTGCATTGAATATTGGCCCTTGCCATTTTCAGCTGCCCTTACAGCAGAACTATTTGAGTTGCCCTTGCAACAAATCTCAACGAGCTGACCCTTCAGCCCATCTTTAACCACGACTGCCCTAGCAGCTTGATCTCTCTTGAGCTGCCCTTGCAGCATTCTTGAAACTGCCCATGCATTATAATTCTCTCTGAAGACTTTTTCACTTCGAAGAACACCACCTGAAGTGCAGCAGTGTACAGTTGAGAATGTGGTTCTATCTGCAAAGGTCCAAAACAAACTAACATGCTTCACAAACACGAACCACGCAGCCACTCGCAGAGACAGTACGAATGCAAGCACTGATTGCTCGTACTTTCCGTCCCTTAGCGTCTAAGACCTGTTGTCAGGGCAGGACGGACACGCTGCTGAACTCTCTTGCATGGCCATCGGCTAACGAAGAGGGCACTCCAGGTCCCCACATCAAGATGCCTGGACGGGGCGTGAACTGCACATGCTGAGTCTTGATTCTGCTTCAGGAGAAACGTGTAGACAAGGGTACCTTCACACCCAGGACAAAGCT